GTGGACTTCAATTCCCAGAATTCCTGAGCCAGGAATTGGCTCCCATTCTGGGAGTTGAAGTCCACGAGTCATAAAAGAGCCAAGGTTGATTACCCCTGGGACTCTAAACTGTTTTTCCTTTCCCAATGCCTACCAGCATGCAATATAATTTTTGAATTGTAAACTGCCCAGCGTCATTGATTGGGATGTGTGGCTATAGTAATTGAATGAATGAATGAATGGATGGATGGATGAATGAATGAATGAATGAATGCAAATAATTCTCTTGCTCATTTCAGCCCAAAGCACCAGGCAAGCTATCACAGCTGCAGAAAAATGTAAATGTAGTAAGATGCTCTCTTGGATATATTTTCATTTGCTGGGCATGGGTGAAGGATGCCCGGTGCCTCGGAGGTCTGCCTTATTGTGAAACAGACATCCAGTGCCACTGATCTGTACAGCAATTGCATTCCTGTTGCTCTTCTTATTCTGAGAAAGAAAGATTGCCCTTGAGGTGCTGTCATGTCTGCTGACAACATAGGAAAGTAGAGAGTTCTTTTCTGCCATATATGCCACACGTGTGTGATCTGGATTGGTAGATTACCTGCTTAGTAAGAGAGATTTAATTTCTAGACTGTAAAAAAAAGTGGAATAAGCAGTAGTGAACCCACAGCCATTTCCTGTAAAAGCAGGCCCTGCAGAGTTTTAGCAGGTTCCATTATAGGGAATTTTAGGATGGTTTATGAGCTAAGCCTTGGTAATGAGCCTGCTTCGTTAATTTCAGTGGTTTGCAGCAGCTATTAGCAAGCTGAATCAACTCAGATCAACCCTGACTCCTGAGCAGACTATATGCAGTTTGCAGCAATATTAGGATACTTTGTTACTTTAGGTACCTTTGCGTCACTCCAAAAGTACAAGGCCGCGATATTGATTTAAGCTTTAATAAGGGTCCTCAGCCATCCAGCCAACACTGAGATTTCCTCGTAAAGTGAAGGTAAGGCAAGCACATTCCCTGGGCTGTGCTTCTCATCGCCACACATTCAGCACTACCCTTACAGGGCAATATGCTAACAAGTCAAAGCCAATTAAAAAACTGCCATTTTCATGAAGCTTCACAGTCCATCTTTCCATGCTGGTGTTCATCATGCTGAAGCTGCTCAATGGCAACGCAGGCCCCACGCACAGCACTTCCCCCTGCTTGATTACATGCATTTTATATACTGTCAATGGAAGGTATTTCTTTATTGTATTCCAGAGCTTGGCCTTATTGAGCTTCAGCCCACTGCAGGTGTTGGATTTATAAATAATCATTCACGTTGCTTCTCTTTGTTTTATGATTTCATCGCCAATGTTTGTGCTACAAGCTAGCCAATGCAGGATGCAGAATTTTCTTCCAATTCCTACTGCAGACCATACATGATCTTCCCCGTAATTTATCAAAGAGAACAGGAAGCACATAGGCCCCCCCAAAAAAATATTATTTAATGCACATCCTTGATAAGAGCTTTTCTGGGTGAACTACTAACTCTCATGGACAGTGGATGGGGGAAATAATATAAACCTCTACTAAATGTTCAAGAAATAGGGCATATTTTCACTAATATAGTTGGAGCTTTACAGTTTTTTTTATTATTTCTTGGGTTTCATTCTGCTTCTTGTAGGTACCGCAGAAGGAGAGCCACGTTAATGTATGGTAGCAAACAATCAGGAGTCACCTTTTCCAACTAATGTATTTTATTAAAAGGCATGAATCTTTTAAAAAGTCTATCAGAAAAGGTGTCGTTGGGCTCCATTTTTGTTTTTTCCTTCCTATGAAGGCAATTGCCAATTTTCTTGCCCTTACATACCATTTTCCAAAGGCATCGACTCTCCTTCATCTCGAAATAACATGCAGATAATGCAAAATTTCAAAAAAAAAAAATTAGGAACAACACTGGACTAAATTACAAAACCATGTATATGTATTTTGAATGGTTTTCCAGTTTACTCTGAGCATCACGGTTTGAATTTTTCAGCAGAGAATTCTATGTGTAATGATTATGGCTTGATCTTCCAGTAAAAGGCAGGAAGAGACCAGACTGAGCTAGCTTTGATGTAAACATATACTAGATTTAAGCTGGCCATGTCACATGCCTGTGACATGCATGCAGCTCTTACCATTTTGCTTCAGCTCTGGGGGGGAAAACCAGAATACTCACCTGCTCCAATAATTGTGGATCCAAGCAATCCCCATCATCATTAAACAGGGCATCCCAGCTCTCATCTGCCATGTTGTCAGCCTCGCTGTGATTTACAGGACCAGTGCTGGTCTTGGTGGTTTCTTCCGAACTAGATGGCACACAATTTGTGGGTGGTTCTTCTCCTTTGTCTTCAGAGGGATACTGCAGTTCTCCCAAAGTTGGCTTTTCCACTCCTAAGGGCGTTCCTATTCTCTCCAATATGCTTCCTGGACAACATGCCATCTTCTCAGAGGCAGATTTCAGCGACCAGCTGGTAGTCTCCTTGGAAGGACAAATTGGCTCCACACTACTTCTGCTCTCAGTGCTCTGGTCAACCAAGTCCAAAATGCTTTCCGCTGTTGTCAGTGTAGCCTTTTCCTCAAATGTTACACTGTTTGCCTCAACTTTACACTGGCCTGTCTCATGACAGAGGCTTTTCTCCTTATCATGTTCACTATCACATGCCTGTAACTTTTCATCACCTGCTACCTTAAAGACACAATTGGAAAGATCTTCTATCTTCTCAGAAGTCCTGTCTGAACAACTAACACCTATAGACACATTTGAATTATCTGGAAACTGTTCTGCATTCTCCATGAGGTTATGTGTCTCCACCTGAATTAAAATGTTCCCACTACTATCAGCATTCAAATTATCTGAGCTCACTCCAACCTGATCAGAGATAAATTTAACTGAATGATGGGAGATACCTCTCTCATTCTTGTCACCATGCTCATTTGCTTGTGCTGGAGCAGGAATGCTCTCCTTTGCATCTTCAAATCTATCACATTCCTTTGGCTCTACCACGGCATATTCTAAGATGCCATTGTCACTCATTGCTGTTTGACTGGCGTTGCTTTGCTCTATACATTTGCATCTATTATACTTAGTTATCTCCATAGGAAACAGATTGCTTTTATCAATGTGCTCCAGCAAACCACAGTTACTTATGGATGCTGAATCAGAGTTTCCTTCCTCTGTGCAGATGGATGAACTACCCTTATATGTCTCTATGTTTTCTGGAATCCTCTTGTCTGCATTTCCAGATATACTGTTCTCACTTATTCCAGTCAATACTGAACCACCTTTACTTAAAGGCTTTGCTCTGTTGTTCTTGCAAAGTAGCTTGCTATCTTCGCTTAGCATTTTCTGTTCCAAGAAAGTCCGCGTACTCTCTTCACCCAGTCCTGCTTCTTTTGAGACAACTGCTGCCCTCCTGGTCCTGCTGGTGACCTGCTTTTCTGATGGGTTCTTACGCTTGTTTTTCCATGAGATGTTGATACTACTGATCTCTGGCTGGAAATCTGCCATTCTTTCCCCCGAGACAGCAGATTGTGTAGTACAGCACTCATATGTCTCTGTTTCATTCACTCCAGTAAGAGTTGGGTCTGGGAAGCTAGAGGAAGGGAACAACTGATGTGATGTGGCCTTCTGATGGAACTTTGGACTCTTCTCTCCCTGAGCCTTTGTGCCTAGGTTTTTTTGGCAGAATGCATCATTATGACTTGAGTCTTGGGAAAAAGTTCTTCTCTGTTTTTGAGGAGACTTGGCTTTCCCCTGATCATTCTGAAGCAACTCTTTCCTAGTTTTAGGGTTTTGTCCTGTCTCACACGCTTTAACACTGTCCTTCACTATGGTGGTGCAGGGACTTTCCCTCCCACATTTGGTGGTCACAGAAGTGCCACTTTTTGAGGCTGCCATCTCACGTTTTGCTCTTGGGACATACAGAACCATGTCTGGTTTCCTAAGTCGTCCCCTGGTTTTGTCTGTATCTGGCTGCATGGCGTTATTAACACCAGTATCTGTGAGAGGGAGAGAAAGACAGACAATAAGTTCAGTGCAGCAGCACCTATGTAAATTAGCACAATGTACTAATTAAAATAAAATTCATCAGAGCAGATTTGAGGTGATAGTACTTTAAAAAAAATTGTTCTGAAATAAGGAAAACACAGAGGCAGAACCCAGAGAGTAAAGCAGAGCTGGTTGTGCATGACATTGTACACAAAACAGCATCAGTAACTGACATTCCTCTACAGAAAGCTCTACTGCTTAAATACTTTGGCATTTTGATTATTCTTTTGATCAATGAACTACTAGAGCATTTCTTATAGGCCTTGCATCAGATTTTGAGGCCATCGGATCTCCTTTGTGGTTTCTTTCTCTGCTGCTAAACATTTTCTGATATTGCTCTCAAGAAAGGAGGATAATCATGCCTAAATAAACCACAGCAATTTTGCACTAGGCACAAACAGAAAAAGAAAGATATAAATCATGCTCATAGATGGAACCTAGTGTAGCTTGTTATTTTTAAAACTGGTATAAGTAAGCTTCAACCTGCTGTCTCCTGCATGTTGGTATCCTAATCCCAGCTGCTTCAAACTCTAATCAAACTCCTCTCAGGGTTTTTATCAGCTTTGCCACTATCCAGTAGGAAATCACAGTGGTGTTTGTCATAAGCTCAGCTATTCTTACAATACCCCAAACTGTATCCAAAACCAAAAGTTTCTATGTTATACTTAAAATCCACATGAATACTTTTGTTCAAAAAGATTTTGAGAATAAGACAGTTACAGAATAAGTATGTTTTAGGATAGGTGAAGCAGCAAATAAAACAGGTAGGCAATTTTATTCTGTATTGTAATTCTAGTCTCTAGCCTCAAGCTGCTGCAAATATCATTCAGTGTCTCTGCTCTAGAGTGGGAGAAAATAATATTTTTTAAAAAATACCCAGATTTATTAATCTATACTCTGCACAACTGGCGATTTGTTTTTCTCTTTATTTAAAGGATATATGCAAATCTGCAGGATAAAAAATCAGTCAAGACTCTCTTCTATTAATTAACAAACTAAATCTTGATCATGTTTCTATAAGAGCCCCATTTTCTATTTACCCTATCACATTTTATATGTATTGTATATTAACTGACTGGCCATACTAGCAGATTTGAAGAAAATTGTTTTTATAGATGTATAATTGTATAAATTTTGGAGCAATTAATGAAAAGAAGCAGAACCATCTCTAGAGGGTGATAAGATAATGTTCTGCTGGGTCAGTGAAGGCTAGGGAACTATTTACCAACGTTCTGCATGACACAGAGCACCCACAAAGTTCAGGAAGTATAGAGAACCTGCCTTATTATATTTTTTTGCTTATGTCCCTGCCCAAGAGACTAGGAGGCAGCCCACAGCTCAATGATACATGTTCTGGCATGCAGAAAGTGATAGGAAAGAGTTCTGCTCTTCTGCTCAAAAGGATCACTTCAGTTTCAGTGGACAATACT